ATTCTTTGTTTGTCCTCTCTCTGTCTCTTTTCCCTGTGTTTAACACCTTCCCCTTCACTCTGCCTCTCTCACAGCGTGCAAGTGGGCTGTTATGGCATACGGGGATGGGGGCAGCTTGCGCTCAACTYCATCAACRTGGCGAGCCTTGCACGTGAGAGGCRCAGTGGAGGTGGAGTTCAAAGAAGAATGAGAAATTTAATGGTTTCAATCTGCCCTTGCTTTTTCTTTTTSTTTTTGTTTTTACTTTTGCAATGTGCCCGTTTTTTGTTTTTATTCTTTGTTTCGCAAAGTGCGCTCTTTTAGTTTGTAGTTATGTGACAATATATATATTGTCACATAACTACAAACTAAAAGAGCGCAATTTGCGAAACAAACGGCAAAAATAAAAAATTTAAAAAACAAGACAAACATGAAGGGCACAGTGAAACCATTCATTTTTCTCATTCTTCTTTAGACTCCCCTTTCACCGTGCCTCTAACGCACAAGGCTCGCCATGTTGATGAAGTTGAGTGTGAGCTGCCCCCATCCCCGTGTGCCATAACAGCCCACTTGTACGCTGTGAGAAAGAGGCAGAGTGAAGGGGGAGAGGATAAACACAGGGAGGAGAGATGGAGAGAAGACAAACAAAGAACGATAAAGGGAAAGTTAGGGAAAGTATGGAGTGTGGAGTGAAGATGAAGGCAAAAGAGGATAAGAAAAGGCTCAAGAATGAGTCTGTCCTTGACGACAGAGAGGACATACATTGTAAGGATGAGGTGGATGAACACATGGAAGACCTAGCTGAGCATTCTCAGTGCAACAATTGCCACGACGGGTGGCATTGAGCATGCCCACCATACACCCCCGACAAATGGCATGTCGATTGCAGGCCAAAATGAAAGAAGAACGGTCACCACAAATGAGCATGCATTCAGTATAGCGCCCATGGCCGCAAAATGGACATTGCCCGGATGCGGAGGGTGCCTGCAGTCAGGAACGGTGGGACAGTCCTCTGCACACATGGATGCAGAAACCATGTCATTGTAGTGATTGTGACAGAGACGATGGCGGCCACAGCCTAGTGTAACAGTGTTTGTGGTTGTGCAAAGGAGAAGGTCACAGAGTGTTGGTACATTATCGTGCTGCAGCACGGGGCCAGAGGAATGATCTTCGACATAAAAGAGATTGCGGACGGTTTGTTGTGGCAACAAAACAGCATCATTTTGTAACAAATCAGTGACATCAATCATGGCATGGACCATGGTGTCGTTGTCCCAGAGCTCCCAGTGGTCAGAGGCATGTACAATGGCCATGTAATGGCCAGGGCCGTGCACAATGCAGGCAGAGATGTGGGATGGAGGATTAAACCACTCACCTGCTTGAGCATTGCGTAGTTCAAAAGTTGACGTTCCCTCATTGCTACTTGTAGGACGGCAATGGTAAAGCCTCCTTCGCTGGTATAATTACAATCCTCTGGCTCTCGTTGGGGAAGATCAGCATCAAGCTGAAGGGCGATTGCAAGGAAGTCTATATCTGTTTAACGATATATATATATAACCCTTCACTAAAACTGCAAAACAGTGAAGACTGCAGTAAAAGAAGAACATGAGTTTGTGTCATTTTACTTTGTTTGTACCCTGCACCCTAACACCCTCAAAGAAAAAGTCCGAAGGGTGAAAATGAGAATAAAAAATGAAGAAGGAAGTGCAGGTGCTCTGAAAAATGGACGTGGTAGACTATTCACCAAAACTGCAAAACTGTGAAAGAAAGAAGAATGCAGTAAAAGAAAGAAGATGTTTGTGTCACCCTTATTTTACTTTTATTTTTTTCTCCCTCTGCCTATCGATTTTCCTTCTCTGCTCCTCTCTCCCTTGTGTTTGACACCTCTTCCTTCACTCTGCCTCTTTCCCATAGCGTGCAAGTGGGCTGTTATGGCATACGGGGATGGGGGCAGCTCGCGCTCAACTTCATCAATGTGGCGAGCCTTGTACGTTAGAGGCACAGTGGAGGAGGCGTTAAGAAGACTGAGAAACTGAATGATTTCAAT